AAAAAAAAAAAAAAAAAAAAAAATAGGAATCCAGTGGGAATGAGTGAGTGGTCTACCCAGAGACACTGAAATTTAGTTAGTCAAGGAGGGAAAAGCACTTAGGCAGAGCCTGCCACTGAATAAGTGCTCAAAAAATAGTGGCCATTGGTACCCCTGGGCAGACCAGGTCACTCCTGGGACACTGGAGCTGCCTTCTGTTTCAAATTCTGGACGGCCATAAGGAGAATAGACAAAATGACCCAATGACCTGCCCACTTGAACATTCTCAAATGGCCTACCTAAATTTCAGCTTAAAAAAAAAAAAGGGGGATGATATCCCTTAATCAAATTTGTTAATGGGTGGGGAGCAGTTTTTACATGTCCCTAAGCGAACTGCCACGTTTAAATCAGAATGCCACCTATTCTGTTTTGATGATATTTGTTACTGTGTTTGCTTGGGACTCTCAACTATTTCTAATTCCCTCCTTGGTCCACAAATGAAAGAAAGAAAATTCACTTTTGTGCCATATGAACGAATACCTTCTATTCCCATTCCCTCCATTCTATTCCCTCTATTCCCATGCATGAAAGCACAGAGCCTGGCTGAAAGAATTGATTAGAATTCCTTTCCACCTATTATTAATTTGTTTTTATTTATAGATGTTATTTATCTCTTTCACTAATATATACAGTTGTGTGGGGCATAAAAAGGGTAGACCCTATCAGAGAACTTTCTGTATAATTTCAACTAATGTGTAGCAATAGAAAAGTTAGATATGCCCTTTCTATTCCTTTGTATTTTCTCTGAGAATATAGGTACCAACATAGTAACATCTTTAAAAATAAATCTCGTGAGAGAAAAAATATTCATACTGTAGATTATTGTTGTTCAAAAGATACCATTATATTCTTTTTTATTCAAGTATAGTTAACATACAGTGTTATATTAGTTACAGGTGCACAATATAATGATTCAACCATTCTATACATTACTCATCCCAGTAAGTGTATTCTTAATCCCCTTCACCTATTTCACCCATCTCCCCACCAACCTCCCCTCAGCAACCACCAGTTTCTTCTCTGTAGTTAAGAATCTGGGTTTTGTTTGTTTCTTTGTTTCTTTGTTCCTTTGTTCCTCTGTTTTGTTCCTTAAATTCCACATATGAGTGAAATCATATGGTATTTGTCTTTCTCTGACTGATTTATTTTACTTAGCATTATATCCTCTAGATCATTCATGTTTTCGCAAATGGCAAGAGTTCACTTTTTTATGGCTGAGTAATATTCCACTATAATATATATCTTCTTCATCCATTCATCTATGGATGGACCTATGGTTGCTTGCTTCCATGTCATGGCTATTGTAAACAATCCTGCAATAAACATGGGGGTGCATAGATCTTTTTGAATTAGTGTCTTTGTTTTCTTTGGGTAAATAAATACCCAGTAGTGGAATTGCTGGATCATATATGGTAGTTCTATTTTTAGTTTTTCTAGAAACTTCCATACTGTTTTCCACAGTGGCTGTACCAGCTTGCATTCCTACCAACAATGCATGAGGGCTCCTTTTTCTCCACAGCCTTGCCCGCGCTCATTATTTCCTATGTTTTTTAGTTTAGCTATTCTGACAGGTATGAGGTGATATCTTACTGT